AAGTGTCTATGGATGGTGCTGATGGGGAAGGGGATATGAAGATGATTAAGATGTTATGTATGAAATACACAAGAACTCAAAAATATTAACTATCACAGGATTCATAAAATGTTACTGAACTTTTTCTATGAAATGATTTAGGCATCTAAAAATTTTATACAGTAATATCTAGTCTTCAAAGAAAGCCACCCGATGTCACCCAGTATTTACATCTTTTTAATTTTTCTTCACATAGATCCAATTTGCCCTGTACCCTCCTCTAATAAAAGGATGTTCTATACTTTGAAGGTTTTGTTAAAAAGTCTTCTTATTCAGCCTGACTATGGAATTGGTGGCTTTGGGAAACACAGATAATATTTAAGGAGAGGTCATAGACCCTAGAGGAGAAAATACTATGGCTATTTTCAAAACCAATATAATTTCAATCTATTCTAAATACTTATCCTATACTCACAAATAAGTATACCCCGTACGCCTCATCAAAGAAGCTTCTACTTACAGCAGATGGAGATTATTACAGAGATCCACAAGTGGTCAAAATGCTGTGATTAAGTGGCTATAGGATGTCCTGCCCCAATTTATACATTTTCAACGTGACCTTATACCTAGGTCTTAGAAAAAATCAAATAAGAGGGGGTGTCAATCATGTCAATCAACAGCAGTCTCTAATATCCTGCACAGACACAGATAAATCCTATCAGGTTATCATCTAACTGCAGTAGGATGAGAATTGCCAGATGTATCCAGCCATACTAAAAGTGTTGTGAGAGACCATCAAAAATCATTGTTTTAAGACAGCAAATTTTGTACTGCTTTGTTACACAGCAACAGTTGTTCAAAACAATTAAAAACAGTGAAATAATGAGCATTCAATTCCTTACCACTGGATTTGGAAACTGTTAACATTTTCCATATTCCTTCAGATATATTATTTTCTTTGGAACAAGGCATTACATGATAGTTGAAGCAGCCAATGACCCCCACCCTTACCCATACTCCATTCTTCTTTTCCACAGATGTTTACTATCTAGAATTTCATGATTTATTTTCCATGCCAATTGGCTCATGTGGCTAGATTTATATACCTTTAAATTCACAGTACTATTTTTATGTTATTAATAATTATGAATGTTTTGCTGAATGCATTTTCTGCCCATTATTTTGTATAATTATAATACATATATATATATATATACACATAGGATGATAGATTTTCTTTTCTTCTATTTTAATTGCTGTATAAACTTTGGTTTGGATACTGTTTGAGTTTGCATCAGAGAAGTTTGTGTGTCCTAACATGGTCCTCAGTGTCGTGAACAGGAGTGGGGAAACCTTCATGAAGTGGGGTAGACATTATCTTCCAAAGAGATTAAAGTTGTTGTTGTGGGAATCTGGTTAGTTATGGTGATACCAATGACAACAACAACAAAGGGGAGTAAGTGGCCTCTCCTCAGTTTATCTCACACTTCTCATCTCAACAGGCAACTTGCCTCTCTCAGGATGCCATTCACTGTAAGGTATTGTAACAAGCAGAATGCTCACTAGAGCCAAGCCTATGCTCTTTAGATCCCTGGCCTCCCAAAGCAAGAACTAAATAAACCCTCTTTTAAATGAAGTACATAACCTCAGACATTTTGTTGTAACTTGGGAAAACCAAATAATGTATTGCCATATGGCCTTCAATGTATAATGCCCCATTCATGTCCCATCAAATGATATAAACTTGTTTATATTTCCTACTATTAACAAATATTAAAATACTTTGTGTCTCCTTATGAAATACATTGGAGAATTTTAATGTTAAAATGGACATGAGATGGCTAGACCACCTTTTTTCTCTTGATACAAGACACAGCATTGTATTTGCTAAATAGCCACTTGGCAACAAAATCAATTTTGGGGGCACCTCTGTTGGTGATGTTTACATTTTTCTCACTAGCCAGTACCATTTGACAGAGATGACTTGATAACTGATTGTTTTCTCTAGAAACTTTGAAATATGCGTACATATCACATTAATATTTTAACATAATTAAGGGACTATTTATTCTAACAACTAGTACTCTACATAAACTATAGGGTCTCCCTATAAACCCAGCTGGCCTGGAATTCACTATATACACTAGGCTGACCCCAAACTCACAAAGATCTACCTCAGTTCATTATTCAAGATCTAGCAAATAAAATAGTGCTCCTCCATTACTAATGATTTACAAATGAGGGGACAGAACATTTGATAAAACTGCTACTGAAATGCACATGCCTTTAAAATCTATTCTTTCTATTTATTATAAAACATTGAATTTTCAAATG